CTAACCCTAACCCTAACCCTAACCCTAACCCTAACCTAACCCTAACCCTAACCCTAACCCTAACCCTAACCCTAACCCTAACCCTAACCCTAACCCTAACCCTAACCCTAACCCTAACCCTAACCCTAACCCTAACCCTAACCCTAACCCTAACCCTAACCCTAACCCTAACCCTAACCCTAACCCTAACCCTAACCCTAACCCTAACCCTAACCCTAACCCTAACCCTAACCCTAACCCTAACCCTAACCCTAACCCTAACCCTAACCCTAACCCTAACCCTAACCCTAACCCTAACCCTAACCCTAACCCTAACCCTAACCCTAACCCTAACCCTAACCCTAACCCTAACCCTAACCCTAACCCTAACCCTAACCCTAACCCTAACCCTAACCCTAACCCTAACCCTAACCCTAACCCTAACCCTAACCCTAACCCTAACCCTAACCCTAACCCTAACCCTAACCCTAACCCTAACCCTAACCCTAACCCTAACCCTAACCCTAACCCTAACCCTAACCCTAACCCTAACCCTAACCCTAACCCTAACCCTAACCCTAACCCTAACCCTAACCCTAACCCTAACCCTAACCCTAACCCTAACCCTAACCCTAACCCTAACCCTAACCCTAACCCTAACCCTAACCCTAACCCTAACCCTAACCCTAACCCTAACCCTAACCCTAACCCTAACCCTAACCCTAACCCTAACCCTAACCCTAACCCTAACCCTAACCCTAACCCTAACCCTAACCCTAACCCTAACCCTAACCCTAACCCTAACCCTAACCCTAACCCTAACCCTAACCCTAACCCTAACCCTAACCCTAACCCTAACCCTAACCCTAACCCTAACCCTAACCCTAACCCTAACCCTAACCCTAACCCTAACCCTAACCCTAACCCTAACCCCTAATAACCCTAACCCTAACCCTAACCCTAACCCTAACCCTAACCCTAACCCTAACCCTAACCCTAACCCTAACCCTAACCCTAACCCTAACCCTAACCCTAACCCTAACCCTAACCCTAACCCTAACCCTAACCCTAACCCTAACCCTAACCCTAACCCTAACCCTAACCCTAACCCTAACCCTAACCCTAACCCTAACCCTAACCCTAACCCTAACCCTAACCCTAACCCTAACCCTAACCCTAACCCTAACCCTAACCCTAACCCTAACCCTAACCCTAACCCTAACCCTAACCCTAACCCTAACCCTAACCCTAACCCTAACCCTAACCCTAACCCTAACCCTAACCCTAACCCTAACCCTAATTAGATTCATAGAATCAGTCTTTTTTTTTATAATTGCTTCTAGTTCAGTTATCCTTGGTCGATTTCCTTCGGGTTTTTTTAGGTGGACTCTTAGATAGTTGGGCTTTCATCTAACATGAGTATCGCGGCGGAATAATGCTCGTCCGGTAATTAAATTGACCTTGAACTCTAAAGGTGCCTCGGTGTAACTTTTGGGGGCCGGTGTATGTCCTACACACTGTTTTGGAAAATGTCATTAGCTCACTCAATTCTTCATCGATTTTGTTCATTTTTTTTTTAAATGAAAGCTATTTAGTTGCTTAATCTTCACAGATCCGCTTTTTAAATTTCAAATATGGAAAAGTGTTGAAAATGGTACTTTAGTAAAATGTACTTACCCTTTGGTACCTTTGCTGGTTCATAGGGTTCAATACCCCTATTAAACTCAAGGATTTTGCTAGATAGCGGTTGGGGCCACTAACTCCTAAGCCCTGATGGTTTTTTTCTTTAAACTAGCACTTTAAAAAATGATTTATTCATTTCCTAAAAAAATGAAGTAAAACTGAGTTTAACAATTGACTAGATGAATTTTTGTTTGAGGTGATGAAAAGGTCAGACTAATCGAGGCCCTTATAAATTTAAATAAAATATGCACTGCTTAGTGCATCTTATCATGAGCATATCCTGAAAAAATTAGCAAAATTGGTTAATTATTTAATTAATTACAAGCAATTTAAAAAAAAAGTTTAGGACGGTATTTCTCGAAATTCGCTTTTTTGCAAATTTTCAATTAGTCTTTTGGGGCTGAAATTTGAAGATATGACTTGGGGGCTGCTTTAATTTTAACATTTAAACCCTTTTTAACATTAAATATTCATTCGTTTCTTATTTTTTAATCATAAAACCAAAATATTAGCAAACAAAAATATCCCCCGAAATACGAAAAATCTAATATTCACCATAGGTTTGTACAGTGTAGGCCAAAAAATAGGTGCTCTACAAAAGTTCTTTAAAAAAACATTTTTACATTGAAGCCACAGAATATACCATACTCAAATTGATCTTTGATAATCCAGGCCTACTTTCCTGCAATTGGTTTTTTATTAATTGTTATGCTTTTTCCTTAAAAAGTGATACAAAAATTAATTTTTCCCATCAATTCCCGCCATTGGTACTTTTCTCACGTAGAGGGAGCTTCACACAATAACAAACGAATCAAAGTAACAGTAGAAACTAAACAAACAAAAGTAGATTCATTCCAGCGGGCAGTCAGCTCTTATTATTCATTTAAATGGTGAGTTTTTAAATGTATTGTGCCCTATATTTATCTGACTGTCCATTTATACTAATTTAGACTTTAATCAATCCACTTTCTCTCGATAGGTCATGAAATTGTACACAACTTTGTGAGATATGCAACTTTGCGTGAACAACAAGCACTCCCCCCTAAACACAGGTAGGCTGTCGGCCGAAACTCCAGGCCTGGCATTAGGCCTCTGCCTGGTATGACTCTGACTGTGAAGCATATAGATCTTATATCAATTAGTCTACTTGTTAGATGCCCAAAAGAATAATTGCATTAAGCCATAAGGTAAGTAGGACTACACTTTATTGTGTTATTGTGCTAATACTGAATGCCCATGATATCGCAGCTTCACGTACAGTATCGGCATGTTCTAACTTCTAGGCTTATTTTTTGTATTTCTCATTTCTTGGCATTGATACTGCACATACAGAATGCAAAGACATGCACGATAATAAAGAGAGCTTTCCTGACCTAGCATGTGCAAGGGAAAATTAAAAATAAGCCTCGTTTTGTTGCATTATTGTGCGAATACTGATTGTCAATGATTATCGCAGCATCAGTACAGCACCTGCAGGTTTAAGATTCACCCCCCTTATTTTTTGTATTTCTCATTTGTTGGCATTGACAGTTCACATATAGAATGCAAAGACATGCACGATAATAAAAAGAGATTTCCTGACCTAGCATATGCAAGGGAAAATCAAAAATAAGCCTCGGTTTGTTGCATTATTGTGCGAATACTGATTGTCCATGATTATCGCAGCATCTGTAAACCACCAGCATGCATGTTTAAGATTCACCCCCCTTATTTTTTGTATTTCTCATTTGTTGGCATTGACAGTTCACATATAGAATGCAAAGACATGCACGATAATAAAAAGAGCTTTCCTGACCTAGCATATGCAAGGGAAAATCAAAAATAAGCCTCGGTTTGTTGCATTATTGTGCGAATACTGATTGTCCATGATTATCGCAGCATCTGCACACCACCAGCATGCATGTTTAAGATTCACCCCCCTTATATTTTGTATTTCTCATTTGTTGGCATTGACACTTCACATATCAAATGCAAAGACATGTACGATAATAAAGATAGCTTTCCTGTCCTAGTATTTGCAAGGAAAAATTCAAAAAAGGCATATGAAGGCTACGTTAATGCGCGAATACAGAATGTTCATGTTCAGCATCCGTATAGCATCGACATGTTGAAGATCCACCCCCCCCCCCTTATTTTTTTGATGTCGCATTTGTTGGCATTGACATTTACACATGAAATGTAAAGACATAAAACAGCCGTCCTGACCTAGCATATACAAGGAAAAATTCAAAAAAGATCTCTGATTGCTGTTATGGTGCATAAAAGTTGTCAGCGTCACTAAACATAGGACATTTTCTAATTCCCCCCCCCCCCCCCTCCTCCCCCTTATTGTGCTTCAATTCTTTGTTCTACCCAATTTGATGTTTCTAGTGGTCAATTCATTAGAAATGAGTGGAGACTAAGCCTACTACTTAGGCCAAAGCTAAGTAGGCCTAGCAGAAACTCACGCCGTTCCGATTGAGTACATGTAACAGAGTGACACCTGAAATCAGAGTAATCACGTGATCGGAATATTTTACCTCGCCACTAAAATCCCAGGTGGACCTAGCAGTCCCACATTACTTTGCGGTGCCTTAGGCATGATCGATGCAAACTTATTCACAACCTTTTAACCCACTAAATCGGAGCAGTGTATTTATCCGGATAATACGCGTAGATAGAAACTGCCCATTCCCTGGTACTATATGCTATTTTCCGGAAAACAAATGAAACGGATAATTTCATTAAAACTAATAGAAACATGCTGTTTGTGTTCCTTCTTGCTATCACAATCTCCTCTTTCTTTTATCGTGTCTTCATTTCCTTCTCAATTGTCATTGTCCCTCATATTGCATTCTCTATCTCAAATGTCACTTTTCCTCATATTGTTTTCCTCAGAAAATTCATGCAAAGGACCTGGAAAATCTGCAGAAATAAACCCTAGGACTACTCTGACCAACGGAGGTTGGTGGTTTGGCAGTTGAAGGCTTAAGAAACTTGCTGACCATCCTGGGTACAACCCCAACAGTCAATGCCTCTAGCTTCGACAGGCACATAGCCACTTTTAAATCGATATCTCAAGAGGTTAGCCACCAGCCTGGTATTCATTACATTTTTGTTTTTTTCCCAAATTTACTCTAAAATAGTATGCTTAAGTTGTGGTCAATAGACAGTAAAGAACATGTTCATCAATTTCTCTTCTTGTCATAATGGTTGAAATGCCTGAGTGAACTTTAAATGAACTTGTATTTATTACATAATCTTGTTCTTTTGTAACTTTGCAGACCAGCGAGGAACACATGAAGAGGGCGGCGGTATGCCTACAACAAAGGGCAATGGACAAGGACCCGACCATCAGGTAAAATGACCGTGTGGACATCACCTCTACTACCAACCTATCTGTTCTTCTTTACTACTTCTACTACCTCCACTACCACACTATCCGTTCTCCCTTGCTCCCCTTCCTCTTCCATTCTCACCAGATCTGTCAATCATTAAATATCTTAATATTTCTTACCCTCCCTCATCTGTCTTTCTTTCTCTCTCCTGAATGGACAATGCTCTTCCCTACTTCTATTACTACCTCTACTACCACCCTACCTGCTCTTCCTTACTACTTCTACTACCTCTACTACCACCCTACCCATTCTCCCTCACTCCCCTCCCTCTTTCATTCTCGCCGGATCTGTCAATCATTAAATATCTTAATATTTCTTACCCTCCCTCATCTGTCTTTCTTTCTCTCTCCTGAATGGACAATGCTCTTCCCTACTTCTATTACTACCTCTACTACCACCCTACCTGCTCTTCCTTACTACTTCTACTACCTCTACTATCACCCTACCCATTCTCCCTCACTCCCCTCCCTCTTTCATTCTCGCCGGATCTGTCAATCATTAAATATCTTAATATTTCTTACCCTCCCTCATCTGTCTTTCTTTCTCTCTCCTGAATGGACAATGCTCTTCCTTACTTTTATTACTACCTCTGCTACCACCTTACTCTACAACCTTACCTCTGCTCTTCCTTACTACTTCTACTTCCACTTTCCCTCATCATGTTCCCTCTTTCTATAACCATCTCCACGTTCTCTGTCTTTATTATCACCCTCCCCCTTTCTATTGCATTCTCTATCTCAACTGCCACTTTCCATCATATTGGTTTCACTCACTATCTCAATTTTAACTTTCCCTGTGTTTTTGTTCTCTCTCTCTCTCTCTCTCTCTCAAGTGCATTTCATCTCATATTTCATACTACCCTACCTGCTCTTCCTTACTACTTCTACTTCCACTTCCACTTTCCCTCATCATGTTCCCTCTTTCTATCTCCATCCCCACTTTCTCTGTCTTTATTATCATTTCCCCCCTTTTATTGCATTCTCTATCTCAACTGCCACTTTCCATCATATTAGTTTCACTCACTATCTCAATTTTAACTTTCCCTGTGTTTTTGTTCTCTCTCTCTCTCTCTCTCTCTCAAGTGCATTTTATCTCATATTTCATACTGTGAAATTGAAATTAAGGACTGGAATTACAAGCAATGATGTGAAACGTTCGTTACGGTGTAAGAAAATACATTTAATCTTTTGCATTCCTAAAGTGCAAATTCTTTTAAATATATATGACACAAACTGCTATTATTAATTAACTTTAATATATAGCTTCATGTGTGTTGTAAACTCTTTTTTATTTTACTTGGGTGGGTTCGAGTCCCGCGAAGCTGTTTATAACACGAGAGCTTTCATGGTGCCAGTACAATATAATTGGGTTATATACACATCCCCTTATACAATATACACACACACACTCGTCAGCCTCATCGGGTATAGGGCTAATACTTATGCACTGTAATTTAAAATTATACATTTTTTAAAGCTTCCAATAGAAGTACAGATTTCCTCATAGTTTAAGGTAAATCGTTCCAAAGCTTAGGACCGGTAAAACGGGTATTCTTTTTAAAAATATGTTAATAGTGTACAGGAATATATATTTAATATAATACACATAAGGAAAATCGAGCATATGACAGTGCGGCATGTCACTAATCGAAATACAGCCCATGTTATGCATATAACTGTTTCATGAAACAATACAAAAGTTCAAAAATGCCATAACTCAATCATTTTTACGTCCAATGTAGATAATTATGATTTTTTGATTTGACTCAACTCATATTTAGTTCGGACATAATACAAAACTATCTCCTATGTCCTGCTCAAAGTGTTTTATTAATGACAATTGAAGGTTTTTATTGATACAATTGTACCTTCATATTCATAAAAAGCATATCATAATCATGTAAAAAGTAAAAGAACAAGAATAGAAAGAAGAATCACGAAAACTACTTTAACAAAACATTCAGACTTACTGACAAGTGTGCACTGCCATTTCTTAAACATTTCATTAGAATATCAACAGCTGGATAGAAAAAGGTGACATGCCTTGCATAGGCGTTGTGAGGGATATTACATTAAGAAAGCAACTGAGAAAAAAGAAAGATGAATGAAATAGTTGATGATCTACATAGACGTAGATTTTGTTTGAGCTTTTATTGCATTGCGGACTCTGTCCCTCACTTGGAGAAATGATCGGTTAGAGAGGCAACGTGCTACTTTTTTATTTTGTTTAACTATGTCCCTCACCACGCCTATGCGAGGCATGTCACCCTTTTCTATCCAGCTCTGGAAAAGCTTCTGGACTGCCTCCTTCTCTTCCTGGGTGAATTTTACCCTCGCCGCTTGATCGCTGGTACTGCAGAACTATCATGGAGAAAGAGAGGAGAGGGGGATGAAAGACATCAAGAAATGAATTGTGAAACAATTTGACCCATAATAACAGAGTTGCACATTTAAAAAATAACACCAATAAGCAAGTATTTCAGACAATTCAGCAAATTATTGTATAGATGTCTAACACTATTCCATCACAGTTTTAAAATGACATTGATGAAATTCTGAACAAGTCTAACATTACCCGTCAAAGAAAGGAGCTAAAAGGGCTGCAATTGCCATTTAAATGCGTTACATACCAGGGATGATTATCCAGCTGACACACTAACGGATGATGTGTCTGGTAGTAGCGGGATTGGATGCTCATTATGTTGGGGTAGTTTTTTGCACTTCACCCTCAGTTTTTTGGTGCTGGTGGTCGAGCACTATTATGGAGAAAGAGAAGGGGGGGGGGTGAAAGAAATAAAGAAAAGAATTGTGAATTGCACATTTAAAAAAAAGCATTAATAAGCAAATATTTCAAACAATTCAGCAAATTATTGTATAGATGTCTAACCCTATTCCATCACAATTTTGAAATGTCATCAATGAATCTTTAACCAAGTCTGAAAATACCGTCAAGGAAAGCAACTAAAAGGTCTGCAATTGTCATTTAAATGTGTTTCATAGAATAGAATAGAATTTATTGACTCATTCGACCCCCTTCTGGGGTATGAGAGTACAACACATGTACATATCATGATAATGATACATAATAAAGAATACAAACATAGCTTAATAATACAAAGAATACAGAATACAACAAAACAACAATATAAATAGTGTAACGCCCCTATCAGGGAAGGGGAGCTAGAATAATAAAATGAAGAGAAGAAAACAGTTACTTGTGGTGTAATTGGTATCAGCATGTAGAATGACTTTTATTACTCTTAATACCATCGCAATAAGCAAGAATATTCATGAATAAGAGTAATCAAATATCAACGGCGATCATGAACACATGTTCATGCTTCAGTTTTATACATTAAAACTATATCACATCGATCTGCAATAGCCAGATCTTCTCTCGTAACAAAACCTAATCTAACTTCTAACTAAGTATATAAACAGCTTACAATAATATAGTTTTAGTTAATTCTAACTAAACTTTCGTGGCTTAAATACCACAGGTAAAATATAAGGTTGAATTCCATTTCTAACAAATTCAATTAATAGTTAACTTAGTATCCCATCTTTGAATACACGTGTTGCAATTCTGGTAACTATATGATGCACTCATATATCTGTTCATCTATTAAAAGTTTAGTATAGAATATATTCTACTATATATAATCCTTTCGTTTTAAGAACCAAGCAATTCCAAATTACTGGTGCATCCGCAACATAATAAGTCAAGATAAAACTATACATTCTACAAATATACAACTACATGTATAACAGTTTTACGTTGTCTCAAAACCCACAAGGACAATTAAATACATGTAATGATTGTATAAATCATCTGAAAATAAACTTAAGATTTAATAAACGAATATATGCATGAGCTTTAGAGAAACTGATTTCTACCAAACTGGTGAGATAAAGCATCTTGCCGAAACTTCTGCTGGGTTTGCCTAATTCTCAATTATTCTACAATTCAGACCACTGAAGTTGCCTTCTCTAACATAACTAATAAATTACTAAGCTCATTGCTCTATTGTAGTATCATGGTTACAAAATACACATGTACAATATAATAATATATAATCAAACTCATTAAATGTGTGCTTCGATTATTAATCAATCAATAACTGCACTATTATATAATATAACAAACTACATCTTTTAAATGGGTCTGCGCCTAATTAGACTTCTATCGCTGGTGGAGGAGAGAAACTCTATTTACCAAACTGTTTAGATGTAGCTTATCAGAGAGGCGACTAAATCCCTCTCTTATAACAAAGGTCCTATTCACATCTAATCTATACACAACTTGGGTACCATGTTTACACTTCACGACAGTAAGTCTATGCAAGTGGCTACAATATACAGGCTTGCATATATGTTAACCCACTAGCTGTGAAATGGGTATATATATCCACATACACTACCATTTCATGAGACGTTCATTCACATCATACAAATCATCCTATTCTTCTACTGATTCTATACCTTCTAACGCATGATAATAAAACATTGAAATAGTACACACTTATATGTACTTGCAAAACTCATTAATTCATTATACTGTTTAGTAACAATATCCTGGCGATATATATATATATCTGAACACAAAAGTACATCAGCATTAGAGTACTCGCTGAACTAAGTTTAGTGCACCATCACAGTCACAAAGCTATCTTCATATTTCATCCCTAAAAGTCCATATATTCCTGATATGGAATATATTAATATTAAGAGGGTGATACATGACATTAATGATAACAATTACATATACAGTTAATAATAAGATATAAAATATAAATGAGAATAAGCTTACCTAGAATAATAAAATGAAGAGAAGAAAACAGTTACTTGTGGTGTAATTGGTGTCAGCATTTGGAATGACACATGGCATCACCAGCACTCTGTTCCTTTGTTTCTCCTCATCAATTAAGATGTCTAGGACTCTTTTGGCCAACTATATATTCT